ATTATATTATATTATATTATATTATATTATATTATATTATATTATATTATATTATATTATTTAGATATTTAGGAGAACAGCAGAGCTAGAATGATGAAGAAAGGTGAAGAAGCTCTGGTGAGATCTTCATTTAGTTTACTGAAATATGTATTAACTGTTTTTAATTTTTAAATAAACTAAACTATTTTATTATGAGAGGAGCAGGTCAGGGAAGGCATAGGAGACTCAGGTGGAGTTTCAGAGTGTGAAGATATAAAAGTTATATTAATTTCAATAAAACCATAAAGGAGAACAGGAGGAGACTGATGTCAGGTTGATTTCTTTCAACACTTCAATATTTTTTCATTATTTCCACACCATAGGTTAATGGTTAGAAGACAATAAGAAAAGTGCTTGAGGAGAGGTTTAAAAATAAATTACTGAAAATTTTTGCTATACAGTAAATATAATTGAGATGAATAATAATGTATACATCTGAAAATTAAGTTGTGTAAATGCTCATTCTGTAGGATAAAAACATACTTTTTATATTTAGTTCACATTCTGACACTGTACATTACTGTAGTGTCTGTTGTAAATCCATGAATCCATGCAGGAACATCAGGCTGCAGAGAGTCAGAGGGAGGCAGAGACAGAAACACATATCTGTAGATATTTTAGTTAAATGTTTGCAGCTGAAAATGACAGGGAAATAAACATTTAGTCTTTTTGCCTCAGTGTTTTTCATGGATCTTTGGTAAGTTACTGAATGCAGGGCTGGAAAGTGAGACTGAGTTAACAGTGAGGAGCTAAGGTGTCAGATGTGAAAAGTATAATTTTTATTTATTTTGTAGATCAAACTGTTGCACTGATGTAGGGAGACGTTAAAGAAGAACAAAACTTGTTTTTTTAGATTTTATTTTTGTTGGTCAAACTGCTGTATTGAGTTTAAAACTGCAGAGTCTAATTTTATGAGCTGTTTTCTACTTTGGTTTTAGGAAGAGGTAGAACCTGTTCAATCACAAGTCAATTTATATCAATGCATTTTGACCAATAAAATGTATCAGAATCTGTTAGCCTGTCTGTGCTACCAGAGTATGTAGCTTGCTAGTGAGTGTTCATCCTGGAATGATGGTCATTATACTGCATGACTTTAATCTGATTATTGGATTGTAAATAGTAACGCGTTACTGACATGTTGAGGCCATTTACTGATCCGTCAGGTTTCCGATGTGCGGCCCCCCAGCGACAGACTCGGTGCTGGACCACAGACAGCAAGGCAGACGAAGCCGTTAAAAAATGTGACACTTTTTATGGGTCAAATAGATCCAATAAATTGTAACAGCAGCTGCGGGGGGCCAAACAAAGTTTTGTCAGGGGGCCAAGATTCCTGGCGGTGCCCCTGTTTACAGCTAATAAATTTGCTTAGTAAAGCACATAAAATAAAAACTCAAATATAAAGGAATTAACAT